GTTCGATCACTTCTACAATTTGTATAAATTGTTAATTCCTTATAGCACTTCAATTAGGATTTTTTTCCCTAATTGGATGAACTGCTATCTATAGCTCTGTTAAAATCCTGGGGTTAGTTAGACAAAGAAATTCCAGCCACACAGTTAACACATTTTCTGGCAGTATATTTTGTGTGTGTTCATCTACTTACAGGATAGGCTGCTGTTCTTTTCCTCTTTGCCCCATCCCACCTACTTGCAGCAGAACAGAATTCCAAACCTCTACAATGGTGAACATGCAGCAGATTAAGTATTAGGACACTTTAATTTCCATAGTTGATTTTCATTCAAATAAAGGCTTCCATTCAAGTCCAGTGAATCTGGAAAGTGACCTTGCAGGCAGATACTGTCCATAGTCTCTAGTAGAGAGAATCTTCTCTGACCCTTCCATTGTCTTTCTCAGTCATACCTACTAATAGAAGGGTCAGCTCAGCTCTGCTTCCTCACCTCAGTTTTCAAAACACACAGACACTTTTCCAGGGTTTTATTATAAACTAGGTCTGCTTGGGGTGTGATGGAGCAGAAGCACCATGTATCCATACCTTAGCAAGGGATGCTCAGAGAACTTTTAGACCAATGTGGACATTGGTCAAGCATATCTCTGTTTAGTGGGAACAAGGCTACTGAGAACTTCATTAAGACAGGTGCCTAAGTGATGGACTTCCCTTTTCTCAGAGTGAAGGAGCTTCCTCACAATGGAATGGCTGGAGAGGTAAATCTCATGGAAACTGAAAGTGGGGAGCTGGAAATCAGTAAAGAAGGATCAAACTGCCTTCATGAGGTATATGCATGTATCTGGCTGGGATTAATCTATGGTTGTAGAATTTGGTGAAACTGTCTGAACTAACAAACACTTTCCTCTGTGAATAGCAACTTTCCGAAGATGAATTGTCTCCTCATTTATCCAGTTTCCGTGAGGCTGTCACTAGAATTAGTGAACTAGAGGAGAAGGCAATAGAGGAATTGAAGGAAGTCAGGGAGGTAAGTCTTGATGGGCCGTGCATCAAACCTACTTTTGTGGGCTGGGTTTACCAAGTGATTTGTATTGTTGAGCAATTGGAATTAAGTAAGAAAACAGCTATGAAATGCTTCCCTTATCACAGATCTAGTAGTGTCCCACAACAGATTGGTACAAATGTTAGCACATCCTTTCCAGTAACTCAAGTCCACTCAGCAAACATGCATGAAAAACCCATTTTACATTTCAAACTCAAACACAATTCCCTAACTATCCTCACTTCTGCATTCAGAAAATGAACAACTGTAACTATCTCCTGGATATGGCGGAACAACCAGAATATGACCTGGAAGCATTTGTGTACCAAGCCCAGTGCTTCATAAATGAAGGATCCCAAATCTTCCTCAGTCTGAAAGGTACATTGGGGGCTGCATTCACTAATTTAGCACAAAGGGTGCTTCAGAGTGAAAGCACTTGATACTGCTGGAGTTGGCCTTTCACCTTTTCTGTGGCAGCATTCTGCCGTGCTACTAACCATCACCAAAGTATAGATGTGGTGCAGTTGCCATTGAGAAAGCTTAAGTTTTATGTGTTCTTATTTATGTTGTGACCCACCCTGAGCCTGCTTGTGGGGGATGGTAGGATGTAAATCAAATTTAAAAATACATTAGACATGCAAGATGGGGGAAGATTGGGGATTTTTGAGTGAACATTGTTGGCTTTGGAGATAGTAAGATAAAGCTAGAATGAACCAGGACTTTGTCTTGTTTGGGGAAGCAGACTGAAATAGTTTGAACAGAAATGGGGAAGGCTTTTCTACATGGGAAAGAATGCGTGCATGTCAAAGGAGATGCAGCAGATGGCCTTTTGCTAAAGTGAGGGAATGTGAGTAAGGGGAAGTGAACTGAGGGCAGAGAGAACCTTGAACTTAACCATGAAGCTTGAAGCTACAATCCTACTGCATGCTTTCCTTTTGAAAGTAAACCTAGCTGTATTTTGTTACTGAATAGTTAGTGCCCATTCAAGCTCCTGTCATATTGTGTTGCTAGCAGTTACTAGCAAATGCCAAACCCCACGCTGGCATGGCTGGAGCAGTAATATGCTGATATAGCATCTCTGAGCTACCATAGATTGCATTCAAGGGGTACAGCCTGTCAGACAACAGCAGTGACATGTGAGAGGAACAAAGTTTGAGTCCAGTGGCACCTTTAAGATGAGCAAAGTTGTATTCAAGGTATAAGCTTTCATGCTTAAAGGTGCCACTGGACTCAAACTTTGTTCTGCTGCTTCAGACCAACACTGCTACCCACCTGAATCTGTCTACATGTGAGAGGAGACATTGTTTCATCCCCATTTTGTCCCAGCCCATCAACACATTGCCTAATCTGCCAGTGTCAGTGATGTGTTTGTTCATGAGCCATTTTTGTGTGACAGGAATGGAGCAGGGGTGCTTCTTCAGACACCTCTCTTGTTGGATGACACATTAAAGTGATCCTGCAAGTGCCGACAACTAGACAAGTGCCGACAACTAGATTAGTTTTAATACTCTTTAATAATGAGATGGTTTAAACAAGGGCCAGTGTGGTATAGTGGTTGGAAGCTCTCTGGGTGACCTTGGGTCTGTCACACACACTCATCCTAACGTACCTCACAGGATTGTTGTAAAGATAAAATGGAGAAGAAATCAATGTAAGCAACTTTGGGTTTCCAATGGGGAGAAAAGTAGGGTATAAATGAAATAAATCTGACTTTCATGCCTCCTTTTCTTTAGATACTGTGGAAGAACTAACCCTTGCCATGCAGATGGAAGAGCAAGCTAGCAAGCATCTGATCAAGAGGCCATTTCAATAACCACTTACTTGTTAAATGAATGTTTTCCCCCCGACTTTTGACTCACTTCTTTGGTTTGGTGTTACTGTATTTAAAATGCAAACAGAAGGTCCCCCTATCCTGCTTGAAAGCTCTCTACTAGGGGATCCCACCCTTGGGGAAGGCAAGGGACAGAACTCAGCTGGTATTTCTGGGAGTCTGCTCATTTTTCAATATTGAAGGTGACAGAAGGGGCATACTCCACTGTCACTTCCATAAGCATGTATATTTTTCAAGTGTACGTAAAATCTTTGGCCTAAATATTACCCTTGGAATGCTATAACTGAGTGCAACCCAGTTATACTTTCTCCAGGATTTTCCTTTGTGTAAAAGTTTCTTAAGAGAAAACTTGTTTATAAATAAATTTTCTGAATTCATTCAATTCTGTCTTGTGAGGATCCTGAATTTTTTTTCTGCCAGTCTCCAGATGGGCTGCAGAGGAGCTAAAACGAATTTTCATGAGGTTGTAACTTAATTATTTTACTTCATTTATACCCTACCTTTCATCCTAATGGAGACCCTAAACAGTTTACATAGCTTTCCTGTTCTCCATTTTATCCTCACAACCACCCCATGAGGTAGGCTAGACTGAGAGTATATGACTGGCCCAAGGTTGTCCAACACAGCACAGTGGGGATTTGAACCTGGGTCTCCAGATCCTACTCTAGCACTCTAAACACACTTCTTAATGTTACATCTGGAGATAGCTTTCCACAAGGAGGCTATTCTCAGCAACATTCTTGTGGCAAGTGTAATGGGTACACTGATCCTTTAGCCTACATAAGGAAGAGCCATCTATTTTTACTCATCCTTTGCAACTCTAAAAGTTCCCCTTGTCCTTTCTCCGCCTTTATTCTGCTCCCAATGGGGCCAATAACAGCAAGGTAGAGAGTTTCTAAAGGATGATTCAATGGTGCTTCCTGCTGGAATGAAAGCATAGCAGATCTCCCTTATCCTGAGAAGGCTCAGCTACTGAGAACGGCTATGCACTAGCCCAGCCAAGCTGTTCCATGTGAGGCCAGTGAAAGAGGTTGTGAATGTTTTAACATAAGAGTGCTTTTCTGTAACTGTAAGTGGTGGGGTACATGAGTGTACAGATTGCTCCTATAGCCTATCAGCTAATAAAAATGGCAGAGAAATGTTCCTTGCACATTTTATGTAAAGTGCCATGCCATTTTAGTCCTCTGCCTGCCACTTTCCCCCATAAAACTGTATATATTTTGAAATGGCTCTCTCCTCTGTTTTTAACTGTTCCTCTGTGTGGGTGATAAAATTTCAGCTGCTGGAAAAACTGTACTACCTCACCTTTTTTATGCTGCCATTGTTGCTGTGTCAAAGGTGGGGTTGGGGGGAATGATTTATGAAAGATGCACTACCCTCTTTACTATGTGCAAGAGAAGAGGGATGTGCATGAGGGAGGGGATATGTGATGAAGGAAATGGACAGGAGCATATTTAAGAAGGAAAGAGCTGGTAAGTGCACGTTAGAGAAGAAGGCCACAAGATGGAGGGGTGTGGGAAGCATGTGTATGAGTGTAAACGGGAAGAAGTATGGGGGAAACATGCATGTTGGAAAGAGATGAACTTAAGAACAACCCATCCTGAAAAACCTTAGCTAAATTGGTATTTTAAACAACTATCCCTGTTCTTCCAATGCTAGTGACTCCATTTTTTTATACTGCTACTGAAGGTTGTGGGTTTTGCCTGCTATACAGCTACTTTCCTCAAAGAACAATCTTCCCCTATCCACTCTCCCATTTTCCTTCCTCAGCATTTGTAATACTGGGGTGGGGTGGGGCTTAAAAATGCAAGACCCTTGCAGCCATTAATTTTAGTCAAATATCAGGTTCGGTGGGGCAGTTAAAACTTCTGTTTATTATATTCCACAGTACCTGGAATAAAATGTCTTTGTTGTAGGAAATCAGCCATTGTTCTGGGAGTCTCAGTGGATGGTGCCACTTTTAAAGGTATGATGCCAGAAAGCTTCATCCAGTTAATATATTTTTATTGATAACCAAAACAAGAACTCTTATGGATTTTCAAGTTATTCGAGGGGAAGGAAGCTAGTAAAGTCACCTCCCATATAGTCAAATGTAGTCTGCAGTTGCAGAAGTCCATCTCTTTCTTGAGTGGGAAGAAGAACCTGACAAATGGGCAAAGACTAGAAGAGACATGAAAAACCGGATGAAGAAAACAGACAAGGGAGCCCAATTGCTTGAGGAGGGTCAGGAATTAAGGAGACTCAGTTCTGTCTTCAGTCTGCAATTCCACTTCAGTGTTAGATTCTTCTGCTAGAAAAAAATAAAAGGAGAGCTGTGAATTCAAGAAATGCATACAAATCCATAGCTTCAGCAGCAGGTGCCCTAGATGGTGGTCATATGCGCAGACATGAAAGTGTTGTATTTGGCAAAGTTCAGATCCCTGTACTTAGCCTTAAAGAACTGCAGTATTGAGAGAATAAAGTAAAATAAGAATTGCAAAGCACTCTGTGCACTGGTACTTGATGTGGAAACTATAGCTCTGTTTTCAAAAAGATGACCACAGATTAGCTTCTCTCAAGAGCCATGGCTAGTTAGTAACCTATGGTGGCCTACTCTAGGCTGAAGCTGTCACCCTTCCTGCTCTGAAATGGTTTGAAGTTTTGTTGTTTAGTTGGAATTTACTTTAACATATTCTATATATTTGCAGTAAAATGAACGTAACAGCAGATGTCTTCCTTTCTAGTGGACCTGGTTGACTTAAACTGAATGGATTCTTTTAACAGATTAGACCTAGATCACCCCTTTCCGTTATTTTCCCAGAAAAGTGCTGTACGAAAGGACTCCACATTTCTCATGTCCAGATTTTTTAGCATCATGTAGATATCTAAAGAGTCTGAGGCTGGTTTGTTCATAGCTGTAATCAGCACACCTTGTGGGAGCTCCGTGTTTGCAATATCAAGTAGATCTCCTGGCATGTTAATAATATTGGTGATCAAGATATCTGCCTGCACAGCATCCATGTTCAGGTACAAGTTTGTTGGATCTTTCTAGAGAGAGAAAGAAATAACGGTTTAGTTGAAATGCAGTGAGCTTTCAAGAAGGGGAGATTCTTGACACCTTTTTTGATCCAGTCTGTTGGAATACTTTTTAGTTTCAAATCCTAGAGCTACTATACACAGGAAAATAAAAACAGAAGTGAATCAATGGCTCATACTAATGGCTTTAGCACAATGTGAAGGCCTACTCTGTAGCAGTGAGCTTCCTCCCTGTTCCAGGGGCCTTTGGATTTTTCTTGTTGCGTTTAAAACACCATATTATTTATTTAGGTACTTGTACCCACTTTTCTCCCCAGTAGGGACTCAAAGTGGCTTACATCATCACCCCTCCTGCAATTCATCCTCAAACACCCAGTGCATTGAGGTAGGTTAGACTGAGAGTGACTGGCCCAAGGTCAACATCTGTGGCAGAGTAGCTTTTGTGAGCTGGAGCCCAGTTCTTCAGATGCTGAGTGGAGTCTCATTATTCAATCATTTTATTTAAGAATAATTTAAAAAAAAACACAGCTGGGTCATGAAATGTAGAAAGGGTGAACATAATTAGGTAACATTTTCCTATCAATCAAGGGTAATCTCTTCTACAGATACTTAAATTCTGTGGATTGGGGCCACACTGACAGAAAACAGTTCTTCAAAGCTGGGGTGACCCCCCAGGTTTATGGGAAAATCTGAAAACCTAAAAAAACATATTGATCGAGTTTAAATTCCCCCCCAAATAAACAGCATTGCCTGCACACTTGTGGACAATGCACCTACCTTCTGTGTTATATGTCCCCTAGCAGAGGTCCAGAGCTGCTCTTGGATTGGCCCCAACCCTGGCCACACTAGCGGCCAAGAGCCATGCTAGCCCCAGGTCTGGTGATGGGGGTGGCAGTGGAAGGGAGCTGTGTTTGGGCTCAGGAGGCAAGTGGGAGGTACAGGATTTCTCCCTTGAGTCCCGTAGTCCACCACTTGTTTAAATCTAATCAGGAAAAAAAAGGTTGTACTAAGCTAGTTAACATTGTAATGGGTGGGGACTCAGGAGTCATGATTCCAATAAGATTAAAATCCTAATAACTGAAAAACTTTACTCTGATTTGAATTGTTGCTCTTGAAAAATAAAACCTATCTTTTGTATCTCAGAATAACATGTAAGGCAAGTGTAGGACAGAGGACAAGATAGCACATACCATGAACAGCTGGAACAACTTATCTCCCATGGCATGCCGAACTGTTTCTTCCACCAGTAGGAACATCTTGACAAAATGCTGCAGTGAAACATTACAGTGAATCTACAGGGAAAAAAGTTGTGGTCCTTGCATGTCACTAAGGGAGTAAGGAACCAAAAGTCATCAATCTGTCTACCTGCTCAGATTCTCTTCATCTTATGTTCTCTTCATCTACCACAGCCTTCAAGGGAGATTACAACTAGGGTCATACTTGAGCCATTCCTGTCTCAATCACTGTTTTACAACAAACAGATGGCCACTTGAAGAACAACAGTTACAGAAAAGCAAACTGTTTTTTAAGTGAGAAGCTCCATAGTGATGAAGACTAGGTTATCTAGGTATGTACTGTTGGCCTAATAACAGAGACAATTTCTGCTCCCTCTGACATATTGTACACCCCCAAGGCATACTTATAAAAATTCAGCACTACCTTATTATTTCCTCCTTAGCCTACCCTTGCTTCCCAGCTATGTGCTCTAGTCCACTCTGAATCTACTTCCTTCTGTCTTTACCCTCCAAATTTTGCTAGTCACATCCAGTAAAATTCACCCACAGCTGCAACCTTGTAACGATGGGCAGGGGGTGGGGGAGCTTGTAGTCACTGGAAGTAGGTCCACACAGACTTTCTTATCCCCCCCCCCAAGCCAATTACCTCTAGTGTGATGCTGGCTTGTCTCTGGCAGTTGGTGTGGTCCTTGTTGCCCATGGCACACATGAGGCCATGTACCACATTCAGGTAGATCAGCTCTTCAGCCACTCTGTTGGAGTCTTGGGCTAGAATTCTGCATGATGAGAATGAGGCAAGAAGGAAGTTCCAGGGCAAAAGTAACATCCCAAGAACTTGTAAGACAGGTAATTTTAGGTCAAGATAGGTAGCTGTGTTAGTCTGTCTGTAGCAGCAGCGCCTCAAAGCAGAGGTGTCGAAGTCATTTGTCACAAGGGCCAGATCTGACCTAAATGTCACTTTGTTGGTCCGGGCCATGTGTGCCATAAAATGTAATGCCAGCTACTGGAGATATTAACTGTATAAAGGACAGCAGCTGGTAAGCTCCAAGCTGGTGTATCCTCACTGTAAGGCCTCATGGGCTGGAAGGGGAGTGCAAAGGAAAACCCATATGAGTGGACTGGAGAGCCAGTAATGCAGCCCTGGGCAGACGCTCCCATGCTGCTTGACTACTGCAGATGAGGTTGTTTTGCCATGCTGAAGCCGCAATCGGAGTGGCTCCGTCCACTCCCCCCCCCCGGGCAGTCTCCTGTTCCCTCCCTTGCACTAGTTGCTTGTGGCCCGCATAAGAGTCCTGGATGGGCTGTTTCCGGCCCCCGGGCCTTATGATTGATACCCCTGCCTTAAAGACTAACAAAACACCTTAAAGACCACCACAGATTTTGTTAGTTTTTAAGGTGCTACTGGTTTCTTGCTCTTTTCTACAGGTAATTTTAGGGTTGTAGTCTTTAACAGCTAACAGGCAGTCATCAGTAGATGCAGCCATCTGTTACACTGTTAAAAAATTTCTGCATCCATTGTAGCTGTTAAAAGGACAGAACCTCAGAAAACGGGATAGCCAGGGATAGCCCAAGCCAAAGAGGTTTCTACCAGGAATAGCAAAATTGTTACCTGTCCACTATGTAAATGTCTTGGGGAGAAAACTACTGATTGCATTTTTAGGCTGCAGCACAGAGGCAGCTTAGCAATTCATTGGCTATGTGATCAAGAATTTTTTGATCTTCACCAGCTGCCTCAAGTGCTGTAATGGAGAAAGGAAGAAGTGACAGGCAGTTGGAATTTGTAAAGAATCTTGGTCAAAGCTTAAATCATTTACTGTGTTTTCAGCATATCGTAAGGGGAGAGGCAAAATTTTAATCTGCCATGGGCAGTGAAAAAATGGACCAGCTCTGAAGGTGGCAACCCTAAACTGGCTAGGAAAGACCAACTGATCATCATGTTACCTCAAAGCTGCATGACACAATGATGCAGATAAAGAGGAGTGGTAACAGTTTGAATGTGTCAAAGCAGGTAACAAATAATACTTCAGTGGTAACTTTGAGGAGCAAACAGAACTTGAAGCTGGGAACAAGCATCTTATTTTATTTCTAGGCGTCCCCCCCCCCCAGTGCCCATTCAGAGGCCCTAGAAACTAGCATATATTCTGCTAGCCTATCATCTAGATTGGCACATCCAGTAATAAGTGTCACAGGTTCAAACACTAGAAAGCTGGCATTTGGCACATCAGTCTCAGCCTGACCTTCCTAAGAGGACTAGAATGAGACTAAAATACTACTCTGAGGACCTGGATGATTAAAAATCTAACAAACTTGAGAAAAATGTCTTTATCATATTTTATTGGCTAATCCTCTGTGATATCCTGTCAATAGGAAGGTTACTGCTTATTAACGTTCACAATTCAGCTGCCAAAATTAATGTTTGACTGTTCCCCTCTGAACAACAGTGAAAGGAGTGTATGCAATTTGCTCCTGTCTAGACTTTCACCTGGTTGGAGTTTCACGCATTTATTTATTTATTTATTATTTATATGCCGCCTTTCCAGATATCTGGCTCAAGGCGGCTAACAACATTAAAATGGCATAAACAACCAAGTTAAAACAATTAATAAATACCATACCAGTTAAAACAACACCAGTTGCAATTAACCCAACAGAAATGGCGGTAATCCGAATCCCATCCAACGGTAGGGGTAGCGTCCAGCAGAATCTCAGGCCCGAGGGTGTTCTAAGATTTCAGACCAGATGATGTTCCAGGGCACACTCATCAGTGGCAGCCCCTAATTGAAAGCCTGGTGGAAGAGCTCCGTTTTACAGGCCCTGCGGAACTGTAAAAAGTCCCACAGGGCCCTGATGTTCTCCGGAAGCTCATTCAACCAGGTTGGGGCCGCCACTGAGAAAGCCCTGGTTCTGGTGACCTTCAGCCTGGCTTCTTTCGGACCAGGGAGGGTCAGGCAATGTTGCGACTCTGACCGCAGTGCTCTCTGGGGCACATATGGGGAGAGGCGGTCCCACAAGTAGGCAGGCTCCTGACCATGTAGGGCTTTAAAGGTTAGCACCAGCACCTTAAACCGAATCCGGTATGCTATAGGCAGCCAGTGCGGTGTCTTCAGCACAGGCTGGATGTGGTCCCGTATAGAGAGACCCAACAACAGCCTGGCCGCGGCATTCTGCACTAGCTGCAGCCTCTGGATCTGGGACAAGGGCAGCCCCATGTAGAGAGTGTTGCGGTAGTCTAATCTCGAGGTGACCATTGTGTGAATCACTGTTGCAAGGTCATTGCATTCGAGGAAAGGAACCAGCTACCTGATCAGCCGTAGGTGGTAAAAGGCCGCCTTGGCAGTGGCTGCTACTTGGGCCTCCATTATTAAGGAGGCATCCAGGAGCACTCCCAAGCTCCTCACCCTCGGTGCTGGCACCAATGGTGCCCCACCGAATGCCAGCAATGGGATCCCTATCCCCGCTCCGACTCAAGCACAGGACCTCCGTCTTCATTGGATTCAGTTTCAGTCGGCTCAGTCTAAGCCAGCCCGCCACGTCCTGAAGTGCCAGCTCCAGGTCATCTGGGTCGGAGCCGGACTGCTCGCCCAACAACAGATATAGCTGGGTGTCATCAGTGTACTGGTGACATCCCAGCCCATGCCTCCGGGCAATCTGGGCAAGGGGGCACATATAGATGTTAAACAACATCGGGGATAGTACTGCCCTTGCGGCACCCCACATACCAGTGGGTGCTTCTGGGACATCTCCTCCCCTAGCACCACCCTCTGTCCACGACCCTGGAGAAAAGAGGCAAGTCATTGCAGGGCAAGCTCTTGGATTCCAGTGTTGGCGAGGCGGTGAATCAGTAACTGGTGGTCGACAGTGTCAAACGCCGCCGACAGATCCAACAACACCAGCACTGCCGTACCACCCCGATCCAGATGCCTTCGGAGGTCATCTGTGAGAGCGGCCAGTGTCGTCTCCGTCCCATGACCCGACCGGAAGCCGGACTGGAAAGGGTCCAGCATGGAAGTGTCATCCATAAAGCTCTGCAACTGAACTGCCGCCGCTCTCTCCAGTATTTTGCCCAAATAGGGCAAATTGGAAACCGGCCAATAGTTGGCCAATTTGGCCGGATCCTAGCGCACCAGCAAACAGCCTATCAAGCCTGCTGGAGGTCATGGGGGGATGGGCCTTGGAATTCCTGAGACTAATTATTATTAATTGTCTATTGTAAATATTGTTTTATTGTTATTACTTGGCATTGTGCCCTATTAGCCGCCCTGAGCCTTCGGGGAGGGCGGGATAGAAATATAAATAAATAAATAAATAAATCTCCGGGACTTCAATGTCCAAGCTAACATAGCCGCCCCTGGACAGGCTATGGACCTGGTGGCTTCTGTCGCAGCGCTGGGACTCTCCCAGATTGTATCAGGTCCCACACATCAAGCAGGCCACACACTGGGTTTGGTCTTTGGCATGGGGAGAAATATAGATCTGATTGCCATGGTGAGATCATTCTGCCGTAAAAGCCCGGCTGAGTGTCCCAGCCTCTCCCTGTGTAGGCAGCGAGCTGATTTATGGGTCCAGTTGGTTTCCAGGATGCTCTGCAGGATTCAATGCTTCCTGGAATACCTGTCTCTCTGAAGCCATTGATTGCTCCCCAACACTCTCTTTGGTCCTGCCCCAAACTAGCCCCATGGAGCTTAGGGGGATAAAGTGGGAACTTAGACAGCTAGACAGAGTTTTGCAATGGTCTCATGACGAAGCTGCAAGAACATCCTACAGGTCGTTCATGAAAACCTATGAGATGGTGGTGAAGATTGCTAAAAGGGAATTTTTTACAGTCTCCATCGCATCTGCTAGCTCTCACCCAACACAATTATTTAGGATAATTAGGTCTTTAAGTTCTCTTATGGAGAGAACTCAAAAGGTTAGTGATTCAGCCATTAGCTGTGAGGCTTTTGTGAGCTTTTTTGTGGATAAAGTCTTGTCACTCCAACATGACGTGCCTGCCAATATTGATATAGTATGTGAATTGGAGGCTCCTTGGCTGTCTGTGGATTCAGCGCTTGACAGCTTCAGCCAGCTCTCTTGGGCCAATGCTGACAGGATACTGGGTGCTGTTAAGCCGACCACTTGCCTTCTAGGCCTGTGTCCATCATGGTTGGTGAAAGCCAGTGCTGAAGGAATATAGGGGCCCCTGGTAGATATTATCAATCTGTCCCTTAGTACAGGGGTCTATCTGGGGGGGTTATGGGAAAGGACATAAATTGGTATTTAAATGCCATCTGTATTAGTCTGCAATTTATTATTGTTTTTAATTGTTTTAACTTGGTTATAATTGATTAATATATGTATTTATTGAATTGTTGTTCACCGACCTAAGCCCTGCATGGGGGAGGGTGGTCTATAAGTCAAACAAATAAATAATCTCTTACCCAATGGTTTTGGCTGCAGCAGTTTGCTGAATATATGCTGGCAAGGATTCCATAAGACGCAGTGACCCTGGTTCTATGCAAGAAACAGTTGACAATACAGAAGTAAAAAACTCACACATAACTGCCTTAAGTATTAGCTTTTGATCAGAAACATGGACCAGAGACCAAAGGCAAGATTTGCTTTACAAAAAAATCCCATTCCTTTACTTCTACATTGGACAAGCAACAGTGTCCAGTTATTGCCGGTCAGTGCTTAACCTGCCACTTCAGGCTCAACTAAATATTCTGTGCAAATTTGGAACTTGATAGAGGCGTGCAGATTTGAGAGCAGGGAAAAAGAGTAAACCAGCAATGAAGAGGAACAGTATTTGAGTAAAGATACCAAGGATGCATGATGAGAAACTTCTTTGGATAGGGAAGGCTCCATTCTTTCTGGGATACTCTAGGAATATAATCAAATCATGATGTTCAAAGAAAGAAGTGAATAAGAAAGCAAATAAAACTATTTACATGTAGGTCCAAAAGCTAATGTTTGGAGATTTTACCTTCTAGGATTCTGGCTTGTAGCTTGGCAGTCTCCTGTCTTGATGGCTTTAACAATGAAACCAGTCCTTTCAGCAGTTCTAGCTGCACATCATAGGCCATAAGGTCCCTGATCAGCTGAATTGCTAGGGGGAAGGAAGACTGCAATTTAAGTACCATCTCCTGCTCTAGATTAATGTAGCTAGGAAGTTCTTGTTTGGTCCTTTGCCTCTATTTCTTAGGGACTTTGAAGGCTATAGCACTCCTTGCTCCATAAGGCATTGGTCTACCAGCTTTAGGGGTTCATGGATTACCTTAAGTATTACAAAGGATATAATATTGTCTCACCAGCTGCTAACTCTGGGACAGTAGATAGGATAGGCTACTGGCCTGACATGGTTAGAACTTGACTGCCTTGAGGTTATTGAGGCTGCAAGTCCTGAGAACACTTTCCTGGGACTAAGTCCAATAGAATAAAATTCTCTGATGCTCTTCCCCAGAATCTTATTAATTGTAAGTTGTCTACTAGAATTGCAAAGACATTAAAATTTCCCAGACAAAGTTAGCTTGCAGTCCTATAGACTTGCAGAGAGACGGGAACAAAAACTAGTCTGTAGCTTTCCAAAAAGTGGCCTTAAACCTGCTTGGAAACCTTGCCCCACTTATCTGGATGGCTCAGGGAGCTATATCCTAGAAGTGTGATGATATGAAGCTGCCTTATCCTACTGGTCTATCTAGTTTAATAGTAATCTTCTCTCAATTGACATGGCACTCCATAGTCAAAGGCAAACATGCACATGGGTTCCTAATACCTATTACCTTTAACTGGGATTGAACCTGAGACTTCATGCTGGCAAATCATGTGCTCTGTTAACTGAGCAGCAACCCTTGTACAAATAATGCTACATTTGACAGTGGCACAGGTTCTTTCAGATCACATGTGGTTTCTCAGGGTCATATATATATTATTATGAGGTGTATAAAAATGAACTAAAACAAAGGCTCTTAAACTAGATCTCTGTCAGTAAGCTCTGTCAGTAAGTGGTCTACATGTGAGGGTGGGGGAAGACATTAAAGATAATTTCCCATTTATTTCACATCTATACCATTCAGTTCCTTGTGGACCTGTATAGAATACATTTCCGTATGGTCACCCATATAGTCTCCTGCCTTTATAAGTTTTATACAGTAATAATTCCAGAGGAGTAGCCATCTTAGTCTGTTGTAGCAAAAATAATCAGGAGTCTTGTGGCATCTTAAAGACTAAGAAAATTTTGTTGATTAGATTTCACAACATTTTCTCTCTCAGTTGAACTGGGACTTAGCAGGGGAATCTTACCTTCATATTGTACCTCCAAGTGAACAGATCGAAGCACACCCAGCACAGATTCGACAATACTTGGATGGGCTTGTCCCACAATTGTCTGGTAAAGGATCAAGGAGGCGGCATTATTTCATATTTTGCTACATTCTTTTGGTATGTACAGAACTAGCTTGAAAAATATAGACTAGAGCCAAAAGATCACAAAGATTACCCTGGCTACAAAATCTTCAGAACCAGCATGTTCAGTATGTAACAAACCATATAATTGCCTTAGAGATCAGATTGTGAGTGCATCCTAAACTGAGTTACAGCTTTCCAACTCCATTGACTTAAATGTACTTCAAATTGCATAACACAGAAGGGGGAGGACTGGCAAAATAGTCCCTTCTCTTCTGTGGCCTGCAAGCTGGTGATATGTCAAAGACCACTCAGTGATTTTCATAGCTAAGCAGGTATTTGAACCAGATTTTTCATATCCAAGGCAATGTTTGTGTTAAAGGAGGTGGAAAATCATGCTTGGGGATCAGGATCAGGGTCACTTACAGTGAAGTCCTAAGCACAGGACCCAGGGAGATTTGTCTGTCCCCTTCTATCATCTTTTGCCAGTGGTTGAAGACTTTTCTGTTCTGTTTGGCATTCCCTCTCTAACCTTCCTTCCTGTTTGTTTAATTTTTATATGAATTTTAAAGTTGATTTTAATTATTCTGATTGTGTGCCCCCTTGGGGGCCATATGTTGAATACAATGGCAGCATAATTAAAAAAACCTTCAGTGGACATAAAGTGAAATGCTAATTAGTTGCACCCTTTTAATACATACTACTTCAGTATCAGAATCATAGCAATATTGTCACTGATTATGACTTTAGAAAAAAGCAGTATCTAGGAAGAATATTTTCCTCTCTCTCCCACCCTATATTACAGACGACATGCAATTATTCATCAGGGATTTATGTTTCTGGCCAACCCTAATTCTACAAACAGATTGACTATTGCTATAAACAATTACATTTATGTATGTATGAAATATGCATCCCAAAAGTCACAAATCCCTTTGCTTTGAAAGTCAGAAAAGGGGTAACTGACCTGAGTTTGATAATAGTGATACAGTTGTTATGATTTATACAATGTATCTATAAGAAATCCTTTTAAGATAAATCCTTCCAATGTAATTTTGAATAAGTCCAAGAGCAAGCCTTTAAACCTTTCCAAGAATTTTGCCCCCCTCAATTGAAGGCTTAGTGTAATCTGGAATGTTGCATCTGAAAATATACCATGTTTGAGTTAAGAAGTGTCCATGTTTGAGAACAGTACAACACGAGCCACAATGCAGTTATGGCATGTTCCATTATTCATTCCCGCATTCTGGCAGACCTAGAGGCTTGGGTACATCTGAAACTTATCCCTTGACCATCCATGGTAGTAATTATTGGATGCTTCTCTTGTAAAATGAACTAGCATGGTTTTGTTTAGTAAGAAACAGGAGGTTCCAAAACAAAGACAAATGAGGCTGCATCTCTGTGTTTCATCTCCCGTTTTTTGGGGTTTTTTTTGGCTGACCTGCATTATCCTGAGTGTTTGTAAAGACAGCTGCTGAGCTTTGGGGGAAGTGCACTTTAGAAGAGCAATCAGGCCTTTATACACCTGATTCTGATACTTGGGGTTGCCATGGCCTAAGTTATCCAGAAGAATCTGCACTTGTTCTTGAGTCTCTTCTGATTTAGAAGTGGCCAAAAATTCTGCAATTGATCGCACACCTGTGTAGGAAAAACTTTTTTTAATCACCACCTCTTAATTCATTCAACAATGCAGGAATTTTGATCCAATATTTTACAAATAACCATTTGACACATTAAATATTCTGGGATATGCAGATTTACTGGAAAAGAACATTTTTACAATAGCAAACAGGAGCGTGACAGAGACACTGTTCCATCAAAATTCCCTTGCTGTTCATCTTCCAAGTTACCAGTAGTCTCTCTCACCAATTACAAATGCCATGAAAGTAAGGGAAAGTTCTAAATTTCACAATTCAGTTCAATGATTTGGGATCTATGTGCAGTCATGTATGTGTATAACTGACTGGGAAATCTTTTTGCTCACTGATCTCCTTGAAGCTGCTAGAAATGTAAACATGCCAGTTTCCCCTATCTCCTTTGTCCCATTTCCCCCCCTCCCCGCGCTGCCATCTGATTATCTGATTCTTAAAGTTTCTCAATGGTTTGGGGGTAATGACATAGTACATCAACTGGGGTGGGATATTCCTCCCTGTACACTGCATTGACTTATATTTTTGTAATGCAGAAATCCCGGTGTCTGATAGCATCAAGTTTAATATTAAAAGTCATTGTTAAATGGGGCATTGTACATCACTTGATTGCTTCTACCCTTAGATATCTGGAAAGATTTAAAGTAAAGCACAAGGCAGTCTCCAAGTGAACCCTGCTTACTACATGCTTTTATATGCAGCCATGGATTTTGTAATGGCAGTCCAAAACAGTGAAGATATATCTCAGACTGACTGAAGGATATATATCACATCCTTTATGGTTGCTATTATACTATTGAGTTTATTTGAAAATACTTTTAATCAAATCTCTTTAGTATAAAGGGGCAGGGGAACTATTCTTTTACTTTATTCCATTGTTTTAATTTCATATTTACATTTCACTGGGCTTGCTTTTAATATCCATGCCTAAAGCCGCAATCCATATACATGGGCTATGCATACTTCCTTGGGATTTAGCCCATTTGAATCAGTGGGATTTACTTCTTAGCAAATATGGAGGAGTGGGCTGCACAATATATACTGGGTAATCCTAATCCGACTGTAGTCACACCCAGTTTGTTGCATTCATTAATTAGCAAATTGAGATTTGGTTGTACATCTCCATCTGCATCAAATAGACACATCCAACCAGTTAGTTCAATGATGTTGGATGAACATTGTGATGTATGCATATATCAATCATCTGTCTTATCGTCTGTCTTCTATCTCCAGATGTAAATCTAAATCATCAGTGGCTGTACACGCAGAAGCTTGCTTCCACATGTGAATTTCCCTTGGTTGATTTGGGCTGCTATAAATCCTTTCAAAGAGACAGGGTAACAAAGTATTTTCAGCAGATATCAATGACTAATGTAAGGCAAAACAGTTTTATTCTGCACATTAGATGAAGAAATTTTGGCTCTGCTTTTCCACAGATTTAGTTAATCTTGAATAAATAGAATACTTAGGATAGAATACTTCAACATGCCCCAAAAGAGAAGCCTCATAAAGTAATGTCTGCAACCATTTTAGAAAGGAACTATTCTTCAGCCTACTCTACAGAGATTTGAAAGAATAAACCCCCTGAGGTCATAGAAAACTGCAGTATATCTCTTTTGTCACAATCTGCCTACCATAGCTTTCACAAATAAGCTCTTTGAACTTCCTGCCAGAACTTGCTACTAACTGAAGAAGCTTTATGGATTCCCTTTTGGCCTCCTCCTTCAATTGCTTGAGCCCAAGTATTTCCAGCAGTGTAAGGATGCCACCGACCTCCAAGAATTCAATAAGGTACCGCTGGCTGCAAAGATTTGTAGAACAAATCAAAAAGCTTATTGGAACTTTTATTTCAAGATCACATAACATAACTTTAGGTACTTGTTAACACATGTTAACCACCATTCTCTTCATATGAACTGAAGGAAACTGAGATAGTGGAGATGCCAAGGAAAATTTTTACTCTTCAGTCCTCTTAGCTACAGAGTTTGATTTAAAAAAAAACAAAAACATTTCATGGTAAAATGATTGCATAGTATTTCTTTAGTTTTCTTCAGTTAAAACTCTAACATTCTAGTGGTGCATTCATTTATTCTAGATTGTGTCTAGATAATCACATTCAAGGTACAGCTTCCTATTTTTAACAGTCCTGCTGATAATACAATTATGTTGCCAAAGAACAGTACAAGGTGCTTTTATTCTCTTAGTATGCTAAAAATCTCAGGGTCTACTATCATGGGAGTGATGCAATGAATTTTACTTACCCACTTGCAGCTGATAGGAAGATACCAATGGACTTCAATTGTTGCTCTAAACATGTTCCATACATGTAGCTATTACAAGTTTGTTAAGGCTTTAATGTAAAGGGATTATGTAATGCCAACCCACGCTTACCCCAGCTGTTTGCAGGAACACAGGCTTTCCACGTTTATTTATTTAAAGTATTTCTATGCCTGCCTTTTTCCTGATAGCTCAAGACCCATGTAGAAAACTGGTGTGTCTGATGCAGGTCTTGTGATATATGCTTGTGTACTTTAGATAATGTGGTTCTTGGGAGGACAACGTCTTGTCTATGATTTTGCAAATTCTGCTAATATGGCTGGTGCAGAATTGCCATTGGATTACACTGTTCAAAGTTGTGCTCATTTTGTCAATGTAGACAAGCTCAGTAATGTTCACAGGAAAATGCTTACTCCCATTTCTGCCTCCTCCTCCCTTAAGAACATCTCTTCAAGAAAGTGGATACGTCAGCCTAAGCCAAGCAGTTAACCGGGCCAGGAACAAACTGGCTCCTTGAGAGAATTCTACTTCCAGTTCTGGACCTGTTTTGCCGTGGCTCGTCATGATGAAATTGTCTAAAATACGGTGTCGGGTAAGTTTGTTGGCATTGTCCCACTCCTGCAGGAAACTTATTAATCTGCTGATGGCTGCCTGCTCCTTAATGGAACTCATGACTAGTAGTGCCCTTCTATTGGGGAAAGAGAAAATAAATTTAAGATAAGAGTTTTAAGCTTGTAATTTAGAGAATACCACAGACTTTCTAGTTTGATGCCCTGAATAGCTCAAGAGAGGAAGTCTCCTTTAATAATTACCATACCCAACTCACTCTGGTAAAAATAACTAAGCATTTTTATCTGTGCATGAATAAACAGAATATTTATCATACATTTTTAAAGGACCATTTAATTCCACCCCCAGCACATGCAGTGATTTCTTGTTATACTTTTTCAGTTCCTTCAAGACAGCCTCAAACATGGAGATTTCCCAATTTTGCTAGGCAGTTTATTTCAAACATCAACTATTGTGTTGCATAGCATGGTTTCAGATACCTAGTTCTAATCTATCCTGGAGCAGCTTGCATCTGTTTCTTCTTCTCTCAGTGCCCTTGGAAAAGAGTTTTCTCCATATCTCTTATGGAAATGTTTTAGCTATATACCCATTACGCTATTAAAAATAAGATTAGGATTACACATCATGAATCAAAACTGCATCATATATAAAGATGCAATGTTTGATTCAAGCAGTCATGTATAAAATCTAAAAATGAAACTAAAAAAACTAGCAGCAACAAACAGAAGAATAATGTAAACTCCAGAGTAAAACACATCACTCACACAAAATATGATAAAGACACAAAAAACATTACCAATACAAAGAAATACCTGTATTTGTATTGCAATAAGCTAGACAAACAAAAAAGCACCGAGATCAGGATGGTTTAATAAGATCTGGAAATTTATATACTAAGTACATGTTCAAAGCATGTTGAATTTGGGGGAGGATATGATAGTCTACCTTTTTAATTTATTGGAACTCCAAATTTCAAGATGATTTCCACCCATATGTAATTTTTGGTATGCTGTAATTGATGATGAAGCTAATTTGTAAAATTGATTTGGGCATAAGAGCTTCTTTTTAGGGCAATCACACCATAAATGTTCAAAATGTGCCAATGGGTCATGATGAATTAGATGCAGAGAGATTGGGTTAAAAACAAAACATCTCACAGCAGGCTGAAATAGAAGGTCTTGGGGCTGAGAATTGGAGTTTGAAGATAGAATGATAGTCACACCTGTATATCAACAGCCATGAATTGTTATCCAAATCAGGAAGAATTCAACCATTGTCTTATGTATGTCCTGAAGTGTGGTGATGTCACAGTGTTCCTTACTTTGAGGCCAAGTTATATATTCACAGAGATGAGAGACAATAACTCCTTTACTTTACATATTAGGATCATGTATGATTTTTATAACATAGGTGAAAAAAGTACATATCTAATTCTCAGTGTGGCCAAATATGTGGATACGTAAATCCAGATACTGAAGCTATGAACAGGTAAGATAGATCTTTCAACAAACGTGAGAAAAGTTTGCAGAAAAATCTGAAATTTTAGAAAACAATACAATGAACCCACCCACCCCATCATAGAAACAGTTTCTATACCTTTAAGAAATGAATGCCCTCTGTGGCTGTTGCTAGACAACCACAACAGTATAGCCAGTGTTTAAGCCTTGATTTCTGCCAGTAAAAGCCAGGGGAAGGGGGCAAGGCCTTTTCTAGGGTTGTTTTGACCTTTAAGGGGGAAGATTTATGAGGGCCACCTTGCTAGCAAACACTGGGTGACTTGCTGCCATTTACTTGCATGACTCACCCATGCCCAGCTGCTTGCTACTGTTAAAAGCAGCCATGCTATGAAAGCCAGCATGGTGTAGTTGTTAGAGTTTTAGACTAGGATCTGGGAGTTTTAGAGTAGGATCTGGTTACAGTTTTAGACTAAGATATAGGAGACCCAGGTTTGAATCCCCTTTTTGCTGTGGAGCTGACTGGGTGACCTTGGGCTAGTCACCAACACTCAGACTAAAATGGAGTAGTGGAAAATGATGTAAGTTGCTTTGGGTCCCCATTGTGAAGAAAAGTTAGTAATAAATATAGATGAAGATGGGGGTCAGATAAAAGGTAGGTCGGCTGGCAGCCATTTTCTCCAGGGGGACGGATCTCTGTTGTCTGGAGATCAGTTGTAATTCCAGGAGATCTCCAGGTCTCACCTTGAAGTTGACAACCCTAGGCCTGGCAGCATCCACTGCTTGACACCACCCAGTCTGCAAGACCAACTATGTTTAGCTGCGTACTACTGTTCAACAGCAGGCATCCTACAAAAGCCAGTGTGGTATAGCGGTGAGAACTTCAGATTAGGGTGTGTGAGACCAGGTTCAGATCCCCATCTGGCTGTGGAAACTCACTGGGTGATTTTGAGCCATTCACATACTTTCAGCTTAACCTACCTCACAGGGTTATTGTGCAGCTAAAAAAGAGGAGAGGAGAATAATATAAGCTGTTTTGGTCCCCCTCCCCACCATGGAAAAAGGTTGGGTATAAATGAAGTTAATAAATATAGCTGAAGATGGGAAGCAGATAAAAGGTATGCTGGTGAATGGATGAGAAGCAGAAAATGAAGCAGGGAAAAGGGAGAGGATAGGGGGGCTGCCAGGAGGAGGGAGGGAATATTGGGAGGGAAACATGGTGGGGAGGGGGCACACACAACAACTGGGTTGTTTCTTGCAGTTTTTCTTGGGATTTCCCCCTGGGCCTTCACATTTCTAAGTTTGCTGCATTCGTTTGAACCCCATTCAAGCTGTAGTTTATTTTGTACATCTTTGGGTTTGAAAATCTATGAATATTTATAAGAATCACTGAATGTCTTCTGCATATATCTGTCCTACAAACAGGTGGAAGAATCTCAGAATTGTTTCACATGGACACAGAAGTTTAGAAATAACTTTTACAGAGTCACAACAGTGTAGGCTAAATTAAATTTTTGGAAGACCTATAGATCCTCATATTGTGTATTTTTCATCAGTTCCTTCAACAGCATATAAAGAAGCAATGCTGAGAGAAGCATAGGAATCCATCAGGGAATTAACAACCTGTGGTCTGTAGGAGCTTTTGTCCTTGGCAGAGCATTTTCAGCAGAGGAGAAGGTGTAAAATAAATCAATTTCCCTCAAATACTTGTGATTGAAAGTGTTATTAGCCATAACAAACATTAGCACTGACAGGGGAGCAGCTGTAGCAGCCTTTTGGAGGAAAGAGGTGAAACATGAGTCTCATTCATTTGATTTGCAGAATATTTATGAAATGTTACTTGTAAGCCTTGTAGCTGATATTTGCGTTTTGGGAGAAGTGATTTTTCATAGGGGACATCCACGTTAAATTTATTGCTCCATAAAGTGCTCCAATGTCCTCAACGCTGATCTAGTTAAAAGAACTTTACCACCTGAAACAATCTCAGATCTGATTCTAAATTAACTTCTCTATACTAGGGGAAGGGGGCGACAGATGGACACAAACTTCCTTTTTCTACAAAGCTGTGAGTCTTCTCACTGCTAAAAATTAATAATCTTCAGCTTCTTGATTGCAGCACTTGCAACATAAAAGCAGTCACAGGGGAGAAGGTTGAAAGACCACATAATGATCCTATCTGAAAAGCTAGTGAATCCTGCTAATTTGTGTACCAGAATGTACTTCTGTTAGCATAACTGTACTTTTCTGCCTTTTCCCACCCTAGAGCCCACAGGTCTCTCACAAATGTTTGTCCTGCAGGACCTGCCACCCCTCCCCCCCAAAATAGTACAAAGGGTAAACCTGGAGGTCTGCTGTGGGAGAGGGGAACTGAAGAGTGCCAACTTTCCATTAGCAGAAATTCTCACTATTATTATATTCACCTGTATTCCTGGATGATAAAAGTAGCCTAAACCTACCAGCAAGGAAAGCACATTTTCTCAAGGCAAACCATAGAGCAGCTCTGACAAGGCTGTAGCAACTGCACATCTATCTCCTTTATTCCAGACACATGGTGGTTTTCACCTACACCACTCCCCTTCTCTTCTGTGTAGTAGATGGAGGTTATTGAAGGACAAATGTTGGTTTGCAGACTGCACAGCTAACTTCTGGATATCAATGAGATGACAGCCCAAGGAAAAAAAGATATATCTGATTCAGAGTTACACATGGAACATGGAAATCTGCCCTCTGGATGTATGTTTCTTTTACAAAAAAGAAACCTAAGGCTTATGAAGCATGGTGGAATATATAAAAAGCACTAACAAAACACAGGCCTGTCCCAGAAATAAGAAATCTGTATCTTCTAGACTGAGTTGGTATAAGGGATCTGAAAGAAGTTGCCAAATTAAGGGCTGACCCCCCCTTTTTTGGCAGAGCTTCTATGCCTATAATCAGTATATATTATTAAATAATAAAGGTATATAGGCTTGGTTCCACTGTTTATTTATTTAAAGAGCCAGTTTGGTGTAGTGGTTAAGTGCACGGACTCTAATCTGGGAGAACCGGGTTTGATTCCCCACTCCTCCACTTGTACCTGGCTGGATGACCTTGGACAAACCATAGTTCTGGTAAGAGCTGATCTTCTTCGTGGTCTCTGTGCTTCACACCAATGGGATCTAGTGTGTGAATGCACAGATGACCACTCGAAGATCACCAGTTACTGGTAAGCAACCTGTTTTTCTTGAAAAAGAGCAGTTTCTGTCAGAGCTCTCTCAGTCCCACCTACCTCACAGGGTGTCTGTTGTGGGGAGGGGAAGGGAAAGGAGTTCGTAAGCCGCTCTGAGACACCTTTGGGTAGTGAAGGGGCGGGGTATAAATCCAGTCTCCTCCTCCTTCTAAAACATTTTTATGCTGCTTTTCTACCCAATCAGGGTGCACAAGTCGGTGAACGTAAAAACATTTAAACAAAGTACAGTTTAAAATATAAAATTCAATTAACATACATAACACTAGAAGGGTCAAAAACTTACTGGGGGTATGCTAGACAAAAAAAATATCTTCACATGCTGGTGAAAGACTCTGATAGAAGGAGACAGGCAAATTTCCCTGGGGACATAGTTCCAAAGTTTTGCTGCCTTGATGGAGAAGACCCTTTCTCAGGTTGTCACCCATCTAGTCTCAGATGGTGGGGGCAACCAAAAGCATGGCCTCTGAGGATGACCAGAATGAGGGGGTAGGTTCATATGGGAGAAGGCGGTCCTTAAAGTATATTAGTCCCAGGTTGTGCAGGGCTTTAAAGGTCAGTGACAGCACCTTGAATTGAGCCTGGAAGCAAACTGGAAGCCAGTGTAGGTGGAACAAGACTGGAGTGATACGGTTCCTATGACTACTCCAGTCAACACTCTGGCTGCAGCATTCTCCACCAACTGTAGCTTCTGGACTGTCTTCAAGGGCAGCCCCACAGAGAATGCATTATCTATATACTAATAGCGAAAGGCGCCCCCTGCGTGCGGATATCTAAATCCGCACATCGGGGGCACCTGGGGGGCAGGCAGATTTTCCTGCGCACTTGGGGCAGTCCCCAGGTGTGCACAAAAATCTGAAAAGTGTAAAAAAAAATCCGGGGGATATTTAAATCCCCCCAAAAGTAAAAGAGCGTCCCCTGCGCTCATCCCGAATGGGAACTAGAAATCACACATCGGAACAAGCGTTTGGTGGCTGAGTGAATTGAAAACAAAAGCGGATTTATCGAAAAGTGAGTTAAAGTTTAAGAGAAAAACACCGAAAATTGAGCGAAAACCTCCCTTTTGAAAGCGAGGGGGGGAACTCTCCCCCGCTAAGAAAAACTAAGCGAACTTTGAGCCATTACGAAAAGGGGGGGTGGGCTAATGAAGCAAGATGGACTGAAATAAAAAGCATTTACGAACTTATCAGGCTGATATATGAGTACCAGAGACTGTGATAACTTTTTACAAAAAGTAAACAGTTTCCCAAACATGGCGCCCACGAGGAAGGATGAGAAAGACAAGCAAGTAAAACCTAAGCTTCTTGCTGGAACTGCCAGCCCAGCGAGTTCTGTGACTAGACAGGACACAACTACAGAGCTGCAAAAAATACTGACGGAAGCACTGCACCCTCTGCTGGAACAGGTCATGGCACTGCATCAAAAATTCAATGGACAGCAAACCCAATTAACTGAGATAGCCGAAAAAACGGAACAAGAAGTGAAAGAGATGGATGCCAATACTAAGAAGCTTAAAAAACAATTGTAGGCGATGGGAAAAAAGAGACTGACAGAGGAGTCTCATGTGTTACAGCTGCAAATGGAGAGAGCAAGCTGTCTTAAGATTTCAAGGTGTTCCAGAAGAGAAGGGAGAGAATCTGAAACAGACTATGTGTGATTCATTAGGCCCTATGGCAGATATAAAAACAGATATACTACAAAGCGAAATTGATACGATCTGTAGGTTGTATCCAGAATTTACAAGAAAGAATAATCTGCCAGGGGAAGTGATAATAAGTTTCTCCAGAAGACAAGTGAGAGATCAAATCCTCAACGCAACAAATGAATCTACCTTGAAAATCAAAGACAAAGAAATAAAAGTACTGAAGGACATCTCGTTTGAAATAAGAAGGAAAAGAAGAAAATATAGAGACTTCGTAGTATTTCTACAGAAGAACAACATCCCCTACAGATGGATTATACCTGAAAGCGCAATCTTTAAATTTATGAACAAGAAAGAAAAAATTGATTCTGTTGAAAAGGCACGTGAATTTTTGCATCAACATAGTCGACCAACAGGAGAAGTAGAAGTGGAGGAAGAGGACAGCAACAAAGAAAGTGAAGAAGAGGGAGCAGTGGCATCCTCAGATGAAAACTCAGACTCTAAATTGGGGGCAGCAGGCCCGAAGACAAGCTATCATTTGAGAAAGAAAAAAATATAAAAAATGAAATGTTATTGCACTCTGAAATCTCTTACAATGTATTATTATAATTATTTCTTATTTTGCTTTTTAAGAAGTCAGAAACGGTGGTGTTTATACTTTTATATCAGTTTAAATTGATTATTAGATGACCACATTCAATGGACTTGAATCGAATATGGAGTTAAAAGCTAACTTGTTAAGCAGTATGTATGACCATCATCTCTTGGGTTTTTAGTGGGTTTTTTTTACTTTCTCTTATAGTTTGTAGATTCCCTTCCTAATTTCGTTGTTGTTTATAGAAAATGCAATTAAAAAATCCCCTATGGGGGGGGCATAAATAAATGAAAAGAAAGAATAAAAAAAAAGAAGACGATGAAGCTATATAAATAAGAGTGGGCCAGGGAATGACTTTGTATGTGTACCAGGATAACAGTGGCTCAAATCTTTGGTGTATTGGTAAAATTTTAGGGAAATATTTTGTATGTGTAATTTGCTTATATACCTATAACATTTTAAAGCGTATTAGTAGAAGATTAATTTAAATTGACCAGGTTCATAAAGATTGTCAAGGGAAACTGAAGAAAAATACAATATATGTTGAATTAATTTAAGAGAAGAGCATCTTGACTATTAGGTAGAGGCTTATAATAGATGGCAAAATAAAGTTTAATCAATGCTTAACTAGCAGGAAATATATATTATTAAAATTTAGAGTTGCAAGAATTAGAGTTGGCTACATGGTAATAGGTAAATAGATATTCACGTATGAGGTATATTAATTAGTTATAATGAAGATGTACTGCTCTCATATTTGTTTGTCTGAAAATAATAAGATTGTTTATTTTAAAAAAGGTTAAAACAATTTAAAGCATCCTGCTTAATCTGTTTTACACATTGTCCATTGGTCTGTTAACCCTCAAACTACACCTGAATTATTCTTCTCCCTACCTGCAGATCAAAAAAGCTTTGACCCCAAAACAGTGGAACAGGCAGAGTGACCCCTTTAAGCTGAGTTAGTGTGAGCTTCTGGCTCACACATTTTTGTCTTGGCTCAGGAATGATAGCTCCAGAGCAAACTAATCTATGCAGTAGCCAAATCGCTCACTCACAACTTTAATGCCAGTAGCTCACAAAGTAGAATTTTTGTTCACAAGACTCCATAGCTTAGAGGGAGCATTGCCAGTGGGCCAGTCTTAGCTTGTGCAAAGCCTTGCACAAGCTGAGCAGAAGGTATATAATCAGTTCTGTTATATTAATTGTAAAATGCAAGTAAAAGATATGTTTTTAGCCAAAGGACTGTGACTCCTCCATATATACTCAACCAGTCCTATCACCTGAAGAAAACAATCTATCCCATTTACTATTCCATCTTCATGAGAAACTCTGGTTTAATTGTGCATCTGCTATGCCATAACAATGTCCATTAATAACTGCAGCACTCCTTTGACTAAAGAGGTTTTTCTTCATCAATGTAAGAAAAACAGACGGAAACATGCCTAAAAAAATAGATTGACCTTGTGGTTCCTTTTTTAGCCTGATGTTCTCTTTGGTGAAGGCCCTGGAAAAACAATAGCTAGCCACTACACAAACATAGATTAAAAAAAGATTTTATTTTTTTTAAAAGTCCAGCATAGTACTATGTTGCTTGCAGCTTATTCCATTTAGATTTATGATGAGTTTTCTGCAGAAAGAAATCAAGGATCAAATTACCCAGTGTCTGAACTGCTCCATCGTGCAGTTGTTAAAATCGCAGGGAAACCCCCCTCCAAAGCACCCCAAGCAACAAAACAAAACCCCTCTACTTGTTGCAACCTATATCTGACATTTGGAATTTTTATTCCGTCACAGCCCGGTTTTCTGCCAAAGCTCAGCCCCTGAATTTGCGATGGTGAGCACATTAAACAAACACAAGGAAAACGAGCACAGTTTTTCACCACTGAATCTCCACATCATATCCCCACAGGTTTAGTATGGGCATGGTTTCTAGGTTCGGACGCTAGCATCTCAGTTCATAGAAGGAAGGCACGGCTGCCTGCCTGACATTTCCCTCCCACCACCCTCTGTCATTGTGCCTCCATATATTCGTCCCACCTATCCCAATCTCCGCGTGCGTATACTCAAATGTACCGTGTATCTTGTCTCTCACGAGGCCTGACCCTGGCCTATATAAACTGCTTTAGTCGTCGTTCCACACCTAAAGACCCGAAACTCTTCTTTTTTGGATTGTTTCAAAACCTCGAACGAGTCTCCTTCGCGCTGTTCGTTTTGTTTGTTTTTGAGAGAAGACGGGTTGCTAAGGTCGCTGCGTCGCTAAGCAGCATTCCGGTTACTAAGGAAGTGAGGTCACAGACTTGCCGATCGCGTGCTTGGATGTTCCTCTAGATTTGCTGGAAGAGTCATGGAAAGAGGCGGGAGGTTTTGGTAGCAATGACCGGAAGCGGTAGTGGCGGAAATTCTGAGTGGAGTGGCGGACTGTTGAGAGTAGGTGCAAGGATGGCGGTGAGAGCCGAAGAGTTTGGGTGTGCTGTGGAGATGCCTTCTGACCCGCCCGAGGGAAGCGTAGGTAAGCGATCGAGCTCCGGGACGACTGTCTGATACGGAATTCCGGGGGCGGCTGCAAGCTGAGTGAATGTGGAAGCTGGAAGATGCTGAGCGCTGCCTTTCCTTCCGGTTCTTCGGGGTTTGATCTGAGGCTGAGCTCCCTGATCTGTTTCTGGTGCCAGGATGCTTGACGGTGTGGGGTGTAAAGTGGAGCCCACGTCACCAGGAGGTGGGACAGAGATTGCATTGTAAAGGGTGGAGGGCAGTGAGTGGGCCGTGGCTCAGTGGTACAGCACTGGCTTTTCATATAGAAGGACCTAAATCTGTTCCCTGGTGTCTCCAGTTAACAGAATCACATGGTAGTAGGTGATGTGAAAAACCTGGCTCCTTGGAGAGTTGCTGGCAGCTGCCGGTCAGAGCGGATAATACTGACCTTGGCAGGCCAGTGGTTCTAGCTTGGGATAGGGCAGTTTGGTGCATTCGTGAGTGTGTGTTTTCTTTCATTTGCTGTGGCTCCTCTTGTTTGTGTTGAGACATGCAAACTTCTTTATCAGAGGCAAGTAGGGCAATCTGATGATTATAAGATCGTTTCACTATTATCTTCCCATAATCCTGAGATCATGGAATCTGTAGCTAAATTTCTCTGTTGTGCTACTAAGAGGAGATGATTGTTTTAGTTGCAAGGGTAAAGGAGGTATCCTTGTCTCCCTGCTGTGTGTTCTGTCAATGTGCCAATAAAGCTTCTGATTGATTGACATGCAAACTTCATTCTTCTGCCTTTTCAGGTGCTAGTGCTGAGGACGTAAATAAATACAATCTCCCTGTGGTGATACTGCTTGGGTGGGCTGGCTGCAAAGATCAGTATCTAATGAAGTACAGCACCATCTACCTTAAGAAGGTGAGTAGTGCCCTCTTGTTGATTGTGCTATGGTTCAGGTACTCCAGTGGTTTTTTTTTGGGGGGGGAAGAAACATTGTGGGTGCATGCAGAGACCCCGGAATGCACTTTGCAGTATTTGTTTTTGGAGCATCTGTTATTCTTTTATCTTTCCTGTGATAGTTTTAGTCCACATGTTTCTCTTTCTCCTTCAGTGGGGAGAAGTCATCCAGGAACTGGTTAGGTCACGCCTCTGCTCGCTCGATAGGCTATGCAAATTTCTTCTCTTTTTGATTAACAATCTTCTTCAAAAATCTAGGGTGGTGGTTTTTATGCTTGACTATTCCCAGGACTGGTACAAAGTACACATTTCCTGTCCATCCACTTTGCTTGCAGACTAAATATAAGATTGCGAAAAACCACTATTAGATCTAATTGTTCCTTGAAGGCTAGCTAAACTTTTCTTGCATGATTCATTGCAGAGTTGTTTACCTCTTGTACAGTGAAAGTAGTTTGTTTATTTTCTTCACTTAAACCCTGCCTTTGTTCTCAATGGGCACTCAAAATGGTTTACATAATTCTCCTCTTCTCACTTTAATCCTCACAACAATGCTCTTAAGTAGGTTTGGCTGAGAGTGACTGGCCCAAGGTCACCCAGTGAACTTCCATGCCAGAATGGGGATTTGAACCTGGGTCTCCCAAATTCTGATAAGTGACCTGAATTGGAAGGCTTTCATTGGGCCCTTATATGTTTTTAACTGTCTTTCTAATAAATACATGTATTTTTGTATATAATAAATATATACTAGGTTTTCAATATTGGCCCTTTATCAGGCTTTTTTCTTACCCTTGCAGTTCTTGATTCCAGGTATTGGGTCAAGTTTGTTTTCCCCTCTCTGTCTTATTTTCTCCCAAATTCTGCCTTGACCTAGAAAGACCTTGCTAGTCTGATCTTCTCAGATCTTAGAAGCTAAGCAAGGTCGGCCCTGGTTAGTATTTGGATGGGAGACCACCAAGGAATACCAAGGTTGCGATGCAGAGGAAGGCAATGGCAAACCACCTCTGAATCTCTCTTGCCTTGAAAACCACACAGGGTCTCCATAAATTGACCGCGACTTGACACCACTTTCCACCACCACCATTCTGAAATTCTAGTCCAACACTAACCACTACATCGCACTGGCTGTCTGGTGAGACCTTGTTATATACATTAAAATATAAAGAGTAACTGTATTTGGATCCAGGTTTACTTTGTAGACTCTTTAAGAGTTCCAGATTACCAGCTCTTTTAGTGTTATCTGCATTGTTACTGTTTTGTAAAATCTCGCTTGAAAGTATGATAGGTGGATGTACTTCGCATATTTGTGGGCTTCCTTTAGATAACAGCTGTTTGTCACAGGATGTGTAGGGACCCTTTCTTTCCCCCCATGCCTCAAAGTTTCATGATTAATGTCTATTTCTGCTTTAGAGATTCTGAAAGTCAAATATTCGTTTAGCTGTTTCAATTGATCATAATGTTTTAGAGATCCAAGCCTTGGGAATCCCCTGGGTGTGGCACTCTTTTTGTCTCTCTGCCAGTTGCTGTGGCAGATGAGTATACAGCAATTTTGCTTATACAACATGACCTGAAAATGATTTTATGTGAAAAAGGCTTGTACAGAGCCTTTCCTGCTGTCTTACTCAATGTGTTCTTATTGCACTGAACTAAAAGATAATACAAGCATAATTGCAACTGAAAAGTACAGGATTTGTATGTAGAGTTTCTTCTCCTACATGAGTCACTGGCTGTAGAGCACATTTGACTATCTCTGTAGTCCTAGCAAAATAAATTCAGGATAGGTTTGCACTTACCCCAAGACTATAGTTGGCCTTTCTCACTGAGGTGTAAGGTAGATTACCCAGCATGAGACACTTTAAATTAACAGGAATAGGATATCCAATAAACCAATACAATAGAGGTTGTGATTGCAGAAATGTCAGAATGAGCAGAAATACGATAACAGAGCTGAAACAAAGCATTTAATATTAAGATGACCCTAGATTCAGGTGGGTAGCTGTGTTGGTCTGAGGCACCAGTTTTCTTTCACAAGCACTGGGGAGGGGCAGACCTTTTCCTGTGTACAGACAGTCCCCCAATCTTAAACAACAACTCACCCACAATAATACAACATCTAACTTGAACATGGACACTGGTACCAGAGCTTGCAATAAACCCAGATGCCAGCTTTGCTGCCATATACACCCAGACAACATGATCACTGGACCTAACAACATCAAATATGTCATCTCAGGCTCATTCACTTGCTCATCTTCTAACATTGTTTATGCCATTAAATCCCAATAATGGAATAGCAGATTAGAATAGTAGAGTGTAATGTAATGAATAGTAGAATGTAATGTGATTTGGAATGGTTGATTGGAATGTATTTCTCTGGTCCGGGGACAGGGGAGATGCACTACACAGCCAATTGCCCCACCTCAAAAAAGAGGATGCTATAAGGTCACCTCCATGCTTGAGCGGAGATGGATGGAGCGTAATGGCAGGGTCTCAGTTAATTACTCTCAGAATTCCACAGTTAAGAAGGGAGCATCTGCCTATCAATCTCCAATTTTGATATATTTATTTCCTTCACTATGTTTCCCCCCAGAACTAAACCCAAACAAATGGTAACCATATAAACTAAGCTTGTTATTCTTGTTTGGCCCTTGAAACTGTTAAACATCTTCATTATGCTATATGATAATTTGTTGCTAACCCTGTGCCTATACGTATGGATTGATAGTTTCCATTTCGATGTCTCTAAAGACATGTGCATGCTTATACCTTGAATAAAACTTTGTTGGTCTTAAAGGTGCCACTGGACTCGAATTTTGTTCTATTAACATGACCCATTTAACAGTACAGGAATTACATAGTAGGATCATATTTACAGTACATACTTGACACTGTAGAACAGACCACAATCCCTATCCTTTTACCAAATCATCTTTCTGAAAAAATGTTTCATTACAGAACAGTCCTCTTGTGTGTGTGTGTTTAAAAAGCCCTCCTGAATTCAGTTTTGCATAGTTTCTGGAAAGCTAGAAGGGTAGGAGCCTCCCTGACCTCACTAGGCAGGCCGTTCCACAACCTGGCTGGGAATACTAGAAAATGCCATTCTGGATAGTCCAGTGCCGAGACAGGCTCCCAGAAGGAAGATGTTTTAGATGAGTATTCAAAGTTGGGATTTGGGGTGAAACATTGTTGCTATACAGATATATCAAGAGAATGGGAACCTTTGGATGAGAAGACTTTCATATTGGACAGAGGAAAATTAGGGCTGTGGTCCTCTGCACACTGGCATGGAGAGGAAGTTCCATTGAACTCAGTAAGAGTTACTTGGAGGTAAATATGCATAGAATCAGGCTGCGTATGTGGATTTCTTGACATCACTAGAACTTGCTGTTACTTAACTAAGAGAGCACATGGAATATAGTCCTGGCAGAAATTTCATTTACTGCTGTGGTTCAAAAGTCACGATGAGGACTGAAAGTATAAATACCATTTAGTTAAAACATAACACACTTAATGGCTAGCAAACATGGATAGTATGAAAATGCAGTAAATGATTAATCTCAAAGCAGCGCAGTAGCTGTCAATTCTGCCTTGAGTTTGCAGTATTTGAATTGTTTCAATGATGCAGCAAAAGCAGTGTCACAACTTTTCTTTTTCTTTTTTTGCAACTCTGACAATTGGGACTGTCATACAATACAGATTGCATTTATCATATATTGAGTCAGATCCTCTATGTTCCAATATTGTAATTGGACTGATTGTAACAATTTTCCAGTACTGTGATAAATAGGGTTTGAAAGTCTGAAACCTTTAAACCAGGGAAGATCCTTTGCAGCCTTACAGTGGTTTATTCCCCAATATGCTAATACAGTAAATGGGTCTACTGTGAGGATTACAGCAAAGGATAACTTGATGATGAGTGATTCAGTTGGGTAGCTGTGTTGGTTTGAAGCAATTTTATTTATGATGATGATGATGAGTGACATACTGTTAACAGTCTGTATATATCTCAGTGTGGTTTCTCTTTCTATAAAGGTATGTATATAACTGATTCAGCCTTGCACATAGTCTCATGTCAAGATGGTTTCCTCAGCTTTCTATGCCTGTTTTGCACTATGTCTGGATAAGTCATCCCTGTAATAGATATATAAAATCTATGATCTGAGTTCACTTATTGCACGGTCACGTTACTAAGTTTAAATTAGTGAGAGGGGGTTAGGATTTAAGAATCCAGATGTATTTGCTGTCTGACTCTTTAGCATATAAACATGCACAGCATTATGCTGTACAGATGTTGCTCCATCAGCTCCAGTTTAGTTAGGCTAGGTGCAGAGTGACCTCCAAGGAAACAGCTGAAACTGAGAAGGAAGGACTGTTTCTTTGCTGCTTACCCTTCCAGGATCACTATCATGTGCCTGTTTAAGATCATAAAGATGAGTGTGTGTATGTATGTGTAAGTAAAGTTTATTTATTTATTTTATTTTATTGCATTTATATCCCGCCCTCCCTGCATGCGTCAAGTCACAGACAAGTTATGGCTACCCCAGCAAGGGCCTTCCAAGGCAAGTGTGAAGCAGAGGCCTATCGCTTCTCGGCCTTTTGGCTAAGATCAAGCGTAGTGTAGAGAAGCAGAGGCCATTTCTGTCAGTTTGCCATTTCTGTCCTCTGCAGTCTTCCTTGGAGGTCTCCTATCCAAGTACTAACCAGGGCTGACCTTGCTTAGCTTCTGAGATTGGGCTGTACCATGCTGCCTCCCCTCCCCTGTAAAGATGATACTAGTGTCCATACTACCAAGAAGGTGAGGCAAAGGAGGAGCCACAAGGGGCGAGACTGAAAGGAGGGGATCTGGTTTGGCCCATAGAGTGCATGCGGGGCTGTTGAATCTATCTTCTTTCTGCTTTTCGTTGTTGTTATTGTTGCTAGTTAGTATCTCTTAATCCAGTTTGAATATACCTCAGAGCAGGGAGATATTGCTTGTAGTCCCCTGGCCAATCAAGGCTCTGAAAAGCTCTATCTTCCACTGCTAACTAGTTAAATTATTATCTGATGAATCTATAGAGCAGTATTGTCATTTCCCTGAGTGAAAGGGATTAGGGAGAGTAATTTTTAGCTACAGAAAATGATGTGTCCTATCAGTCCAGGAGGAGGGGATTTTGCCAGATTCTTTGTATTATTATATGGCTCACACTAAAATTTGTGTATTCCTCACAGGGGTGCATAGTGATCCGCTACACAGCTCCCTGGAGGTTGGTGTTCTTTTCAGAATCCATGGGTATAAGGTCTCTGCAGAACTTGGCTAAGAAGTTGTTGGAGCTCCTCTTTGCCTACAAAATGGAGATGAAGCCCTTGCTCTTTCATGTCTTCAGCAATGGTGGTGTCATGCTGTACCGTTACATTGTGGAGCTCCTCCACACTCACCGGCAGTTCCAGCACCTGAGAGTGGTGGGCACTGTGTTTGACAGTGCTCCTGGCAGGAAGAACCTGAGAGGTGGTCTCCGTGCCCTGTCGGTTGTCTTAGAATCAACCAATGTGTATGTTAAGTACTTCCTCCTCCTGTCATTTGCCGTTCTGGTGGTGACTTTGCGGATCTTGTTATATCCTTTGACCCGCTTTGTACATGAGAGCCATTATGATGCCATGTTGAAGCAGCCCTCTTTCTGGCCTGAGCTCTACTTGTACTCCAGAGCTGATGGTGTTATCCTTGCCAGTGATGTGGAGACCATGATAGAGGCCCGGCGGCAGCGGCAGGTCCCTGTAAAGGCTGTGGATTTTGTGAACTCTGCTCACGTCAGCCACCTTCGGGCACACCCCGCCTCGTACGTGACTCATTGTATCTCCTTTATGTACAGTTGCTTAGATTCACTAAAGTGACAGACATATCAAGCGCAAGCTGCCTCTTGATGGAAGTTAGTGCTGCTCTGAATAAAATCTAGCCCTGCAAAGGATTTCTTGGAACCCAAATATTTCAAATTCTCACACTGCTGAGCAGTGGAATGTGGGTTTGCTAGACAAATCTGGGAAATCCTAGACTGATGCAGCATGTAGTGCATTGCTTCTGTTTGCCCGTGGAAACAGAATGTGGAAAGTGTTTTGTACTTGGGCTATGTGTGCTGCTTGCATGTAAGGAAACATGCACAAACACGAACAACCTCATGCCAAGAGAGGCTGAATCTATAAACTGGAGACATGTCATGTATTTGCTTGTTTTGTGTACTTTATCTTGCTTCTGTTGGTCAAGAGTGGGGGCACAGGCCCTGACCTGGATAGCCCAGGCAAGCCTGATCTCGGAAGCTAAGCAGGGCCAGCCCTGGCAAGTATTTGGATGGGAGACCTCCAGAGAATATCAGGGCCAGGAGGCCAGAGGCAGGCTATCAAGCCACTTCTCTGAATGTCCTCCATGCCCCAGTAAGAGTTGCCAGAGGTCGCCATGACTTCCTGGCACAGGCACGTACACACACACACACACAAATGCAAAAATACCAGGTTTAAAAAAAAATGTGTAGAGGCATGGAAGCCCCTCTTCCTAAATAGTGGGAATCTCACTTAGCCTTCTCTTTGGTTTCTGGGATTTTACTAGGCACAGATTTCACTGCAGAATATACTGCAGAATATACAGAGCTGTGGCTATTTCCATTTTGTCTTTAGCTGTTCTATTTGCTTCTACTATCTTTTCCTTTCTTGTTCTCTTCTCTACCCCATCCTCGCCCTCTATGTGACCATAAAGCAATAGCAGTTCCTTTCTCTGCTACCTTTGTTCATCCCTGCAAACATTTCAGTGGATCTTCTGTAATCTCTGGGCTGCTGCTTGTCTCAGCCTTGCCTTCTGGCTGACAGCTTTTGTTTAGTTAAGGAGAGAAGCAGATTTATTTTGCAGATAGAAGCAGGGAAGTAGCTCCATATTCTCAGTCTGGGTACACACTACGACCACTTCCTTCTGACCAAGTTATTGCGTATCCCTTTTGTGGTGCACCTTCTGAATTCACTGTGGCCAAATGAGAACTTTGTACTCCATGTTTAGCTTGAAGAATTGTCCAACTTTGCTCTGTATACACAGTTCTACAGATCAAATTATACACCCATAAGCATTAATTGAAAAGAGGGTCAAGAACATTCACTTTATGAGTGCAAGATGGCTGGGAAAAGTGTAGTCGTGTAAAACAGACTTGTTACTGTCTTCATTATGCTGTACCTTTGTAACAGAAGCAAAGCCCCAAGTTGTAGCTTAATTAATATACAACAGTATTTAGAAAAGGTGGGTTTACCCATCTTACAGTGCAGTCCTAGCAGAGTTTTATACCCTTCAAAGTCTATCAAAGTAAATGGGTTTAGAAGGCTGTAACTCTTTTTAGGATTCACTGTTAATGTTTTCCCCCACTCCCCTTTCAATTTTGGGAGGCTCTTCAGCTTGCATCCATAGCTTTGCATGCCCTTTTCTTTCAGATGCATGCCTATTGTACTTTGATAAAAACTGGGGAGATAGCACATTCCTGTGGGATATGTACTGAAGTGCAGTGGAGCAATAGCAAGTTTTATATGATGCATAAATAGGTAGCCAGGTCTTCCAAACCCTTATTTCTAGAATAGTGATACTAAAGTTACTGGTTCCAGAAAAATCAGAGTTTATAAGCCTGTGGATTGATCCTACCAAATCTGCCTTAGCTGCAGTTTTGATATCAGGAGCTTTCATAGCATTTTTTTAGGAGATCTAGGTCAGGGGTCACCAGTGCTTTCTTTAATGAGAGCTATTTCTGAAAAAACCTTAAGCCCCCCCCCCATGTTACCAATTTTTGTTATGTTCTAGAAACATGACATGGACTAGGAAGAGCACCAGAAATGAAACTATCCACTAAGCAGCACAGAGAAAAATCCAATGAAATGAAACCATGTTTTAAACCCTAGAGCAGAACTTTTTGTAGGTTTTTTTCTTGAGTCTTTTGTGGGTTGCATGAGCTACTCTGCAGCAGTTGGCAAGCTACTGAGTTAATGAAGTACCTGTTGGAGACCCCTGATCAGTGTTCCCTCTAAGCTGAGTTAATGTGAGCTAGCTCACAGTTTTTTAGCCTCTGGCTCATATGTTTTTGTCTTAGCTCAGGAAGGATGGCTCCAGAGCCAACTCATTTATGCAGTAGCCAAATCGCTCGCTCACAACTTTAATGCCCGTAGCTCACAAAATATAATTTTTGCTCACAAGACTCCACAGTTTAGCGGGAACATTGCCCCTGATGTAGGTTTACCTTATCTGTCAATAGGAACCCACACTTGTCATCTGTTATGAACATAATGCCACAAAATAAAAGATTATCCTGCTGCACCCTCAGTAAAAAACTGGTTGAAATTTGATGTCAGGGCCTTAATTGAAAACAAAGGCTTGAGAATATGTGCAGATTATTTCTTTCTGTGCCTTCTTTCTGCCTCAGAACAAGGTACCCAAGATAAACATATGTGGAGCAACAGACAAAATGGGCATTAAAATGTCTGGACCTTATCGCTTCTCAGCCCTTTGGCTGGGACAGCATTCTGTACTAAGTCAATCTGTTCTTATCAGTTTAAGATGTCTGGACCTTAATGTTTTGTTCTTTGTGATATGGATTGAATATTAGACTTGGCCTAGGGAGACCCTTGGTTCAACTCCCTATGCTTCATGAAGAGCTCTAGTCCAGTCAAAATTATAAATCTTTGTGTGATGTGTCATATGAAATTCTCTTAACTGGTGTCTTTCTTCTTTTGGCCCTTGTCTGGTCTGTCCTGGGGCTGTGCTGGTTCCCAGCCATGTGTGTTGCTCTCCCCCCCGCCCCAAATTCCAAGCTGTGTCAACTGCCCATCACTTAAACTGCTTTCATTTTGTGATCTGAAGTTCAGAAGTGACAGACTAATGGCAAGTAGTAATCTTTAACTTTTTGTGGGAGTATTGGTGTGGATTTTACCACTCAAGATTAAAGTAGAAGGTGGTAAATATGGAATCTAGTTTGGTGTAGTGGTTAAGTGCACGGACTCTAATCTGGGAGAACCGGGTTTGAGTCCCCACTCCTCCACTTGCACCTGCTGATGTGACCTTGGGTCAGTCACAAGCTCTGGCACAGCTGTCCTTGAAAAAGAGCAGTTTGTGTCAGAGTTCTCTCAGCCCCACCCACCTCACAGGGTGTCTGTTGTGGGGAGGGGAAGGGAAAGGAGTTTGTAAGCCGCTCTGAGACTCCTTTGGGAAGTGAAGGGCGGGATATAAATCCAATCTCTTCTCTTCTTCTTCTTCTTCTACCTCACCTGGCAAATGGTATCTCTGAGGCTAGTTTGAGAAAAGGTACAGTAGGGGTCCGGAGTTCACACTAAAAGGTTTGAGACCCAGTGCGTAATTCTGACTCTGTATCTGGCAGTTTACTTCCTGATGAAAATCTTTTTTCTTTTTGTAAAGGATATCCCAACTGACATATTAAAAAGGTACCTGGGTGAAACCCCTGGTTTGTGAGAAAAGCATGACTGTTGCTCTCTAGTGGATCTTAGGTAAAACAGCAGCAAGGATGTTCTTTATTTTTTATTTCATTAAAGCACTTTTTATTTAAGCCACTGAGAATTCATGGCAGCATATAAGGTTTGTCATTCCCTTAGCTTTCTTACTGGGCATTATGCCATCTTTCTAGTTGTGATAGTTTAGAAGTTAATGACCCTTGTGCGTGAACAATTTATTTATTTTTCATTTATTGTCCTCCACTCTCACTGAAACTCAAGGTAGATTACAACTAAAACCAATGCAGGAGGAACAATACAATGCACACAACGAAGCACGTTCGAAAATATTGCACTAAAACATAGTATAATACAGATAATAAAGCAGGAGTATAAAATTAGAGAATATTACATACAATAAGCATAGTAACAAAGATGGATTACAAAATCTCATAGCAATCTGAGAAGACAACAGTCTTTGGTATTTTGTCTCTGGCAGTGGGAAGAATTGGAAGGATCAGAGGTCAGTGTAGGCAAGATCAGAGATCAGCTCATGAATGGTCATATTGGCTGGTCATCTCTTTCCACATCTGTGCATGTGTAATTAGGAGAGTAATCTGTAGTATGTGGTATCTTTGCCTTAATCTGGAAACATAAACTGCATTAGGAAAGACTATATATGTCAGTCCAGGCATATGTGAGTGATATTCAGCAGTGGGTGCTGTAAATAGCATTGCATTGCAACACTAGTCTACGGATTGTGTTAATAGCAATTCTACATCTATTTTCTCTCATTTTTGAATGGAATTGAGTTAAACTAAAAAATGGCACCAGCAGGAGAGCTTTTGAACAGGGCCCACAGTTGTGGACCTCAGTGCTGCAACACTTAAAGGGAGAGGAGAGGCTGAAATAAGAATCTGAAGAGGCAGATATGGGTCTTTCAAAGGCCAGAAGAACTGTCAGGCTGCCTCAGTCTCATGATGCCTGGTTATTGGTTAGTATTTTGGCCAAATAGATTTCCAACAGACTTGTCGCTATGTTAGGCTTAGGTAGATGTGCTGAGAATGCAGTATTTTAACCAGCCTTACCTGTCTGTCTTTCCCTGCTCCCAGAGTCTGATGATGACTGAGTTTATACAGCACTTTCAGCCTTTGGAACACCTTCAGGGCTACAAGCTTGTGGGAGGTGGGACAGAGAACCAGCCTCAGAGGCCTACATTCAACAGCTCACACCACTTAAGCAGCTTCCTTCTGGGCCACAGCAGTCTGGAACAATCCAACTTTATTTAAACCTTGCATAAGAGAACATAAGAATTTAAGAGGCCAATGGCTCATCCAGTCCAACACTGTCACACAGTGACCAAAAATACAAGGTGCCATCAGGAGGTCCACTAGTGGGGCCATAAGTAAAAGCTTAGCAAAGCAAGCTTGAACTTTTCTCCTGATGAAGACTGATGAATCACTAGGTAGTGGATGCTCTACCATTGTGCTATGCTTGGCATGTGAGGGCCCCTCTAGGCTCATTTTTGCTGCTAGTCATGGAATGTACGGATGGGCAGAGCAGGGATGGAAACATAATTTGGCAATATGGGTAAAAAATATTACTGGATATAGTTTTGTTATTTCCAATGAAATGGCACAACTCTATTATATAAGGTCAACCCCAAGCAAACTGGCTTTCATGAGTAAGATAGTTAATAGAAAGGAAAAGAATCCTTCAGCTGTTACAGGAATATTTG